CGATGGGAAAGTGTGCTGCAATCGCGCAGGCGGCGAGCCCGAGTCTGCATCTTCGTGTTACGGGCGTTCCTCCTTCGGTGCTGCGGACCACTCGAGGACAGAAGAGTTGGTGACGCACCGGGATGTGAAATATCTCGGTTCAGACCAGGATTCACTTCAGTGCTTTTCATGAGCGTCATGGTCACCTGGAATCAGGGAAACGGATTTCCCACAGGCTTCGCGGAGTCCAGCTTTTGTGCGGAGCCAGAAGTCATCTCGGGAGGCTCTTGATACTGATGCAGAAGTTACTCTCAGAATCGGACCTTCCCCCTGGTTTGGTCCCGGGACGTTCTGGAAGATGGAGGGCACATGACGACGACCGTCCGAGGGACACAATATAGCCCAGTAGGCCTGTTTAGTCAATCAGCTCGAATAAGACCGGGTTCGCTCCGGTCGCAGACCTCAGGCCGCGAGAACTACTGCCTACTCTTGCCTTTTTTCCTCTTGACATAGGAGTTCTAGATGTTTTCACCTTCTCCCCTTCGGCTCCGTCCTGCAGACGCTGACTCTCGGAAAGTCAGCTTCCACGATTCATAATCCCGGGGATATCATCATCCAAAAGCGACAACCACTTAAGCCGCGGTACACCCGGGGGCAGTCGCGAACGGTGCCGAAGTCTCCATGATTCCGGAATACGGAGAAGCTCGATTTAGAGATCTCCCCATGCGCGGAAACCATTCGTGAAAAAATGAATCGATAGCGATTCCGATGAATTTTCGGATGCGCATGGGGAGGGGCGGCTTAGAAGCTTTCAGGAAAATTCCTCCTCGAGGTCTCCATAGTCGCGAAAATGGAGATCTCAATTTCGAGGACGATAACTCGCGAACTCGAAGGCCTCTCTTCCACGCAAGAACTATCTCCCTGCGGCTTCTGAGAGCCAACACATCGCCGATTGAAACATAAGGTCGGGAACCTTTCCAGCTGCCTTACGACGGAGTATCGGCGAAGCACGATGCGAAATGGAGTGCCTTGCTGATTCGAATAGAGAATCGAGCCCTCATTCTCTCCAGGCTAGGGAGGGAAAATTGTTTCATTTCCGCGCTCTTGCTCATCTCTAGGATCACATGAGTCCCAGTGAGAGCTGAGTAGGCTTGGTCCCTAAAATTATGCCGCCTCACAAAGAATCTTAACAATCCACAAGCAGCTCGCGGAGGCAGCGACTTCAGCTCAGCCAACAGTTCAGGTCGCGATTCGGTGGTCGCGGAAAATATTCAGCCGATGGGTTTTGCTCACTCATTGTCAGTGGAGTCGTCCTGTTGAAAACCCTGAATATCGTCGCTCGATCCACCTTGTTTCCGGTGCTCAATCGATTTCGGTCACGAGAAACGGACAAACTGGTCGAGTTTCCCGATTCGATCGACCCTGTCAAAAGGTCTGTGGGATACTTTCCACCGGCGAAGTCCATGGGGAACGCTGCGCAGCGTAACGGAACGTCACGTAAATAGATTTCGGTGTGTTCGTAGGCGGATTCGTACCTCATTCCCTCACAGAGGCCGGTTCGACCCACTGAGTTCCCCGGGGAAAATCTATGTCAATTTCTGTTCACTTGGAAGTTGTCATTTCTTGTTTATGTTCTCTCTCGAGGCGAACATCTTCCTTCCGCCTCGAGATGCGGAGTGGTCGCCTCAAAACTAGTGACCTAGCCCCGGCGTCGAAAGGAAAATTTTCCCCCCTCGGATCGTCCCCCGTCTTCATCGCGGAGCGCGTAAGACAAGTGTCCACAAATCACACGGGTTGATTCGTCCTCAGTCACTATGAACGACACCCTCCCAATTCCCTGTCGTTCGAAAAAGGTCGAGATTATTGCAGCCATTGTCAGCGTCTGTTTCCCAGCCGGAACTTCACTCGAGCAGAGCTTTCGGGGCCTTCCTGGCCGCAGTTTTCCGCTCTGCTTTCGTTGTTGGTCGCATTTTTCCCGTGATCGGTTACAAAGTTCCGCCGCAGGTACTCATGCTGGTAAGACCCCTCGATGAAACTCCCGATGTTACCATCCGATGGATCTCGTGGCTTCTGCCGCTCGATCAGATATTCATTACTGCCGAGTCCTGCAAAAATTAGCCCCTCGTTCACCAGCTGAGTCTAGATATCCTTCTCATATCGTTGGTCGCAGTCTCATTCTTCGTGATGACTGATGACGTCGCTTTCCGTAGTACGGCTCAGCAGCGCTGGACTCGGCTCGAGATTTACCTAGCACACTCTACGGCACGAGCATAGCATCGACTTGGCGGTATGTTTCCTCGAAACACTGTCATAGGGCGCTTCTGATGGCAGGCTCATCGATTCCTATCGCGAAGCCGATGCGCACGATACGAAGGCTATCAGGAGATGTCAGAGTATCATCTCTCTAGGGAATGATAGATTCATCGCGACATGAAGGAGGGAGCGTCGAAATTGGACTCATGACTCTGATTCCCAGAGGCGTGCCCGAGGGGGGGGGAAGGGCCATGGCCCCCCTCAAGATCTCTCGCTGGCCCATAGCGTTCCATGTTGAGGCTCATCATCATCGGTACTGAGCCCCTACTAAGACAATGGCCCTGCGAAGTGGGGGGCACCGTTCTTCCTATTTTTTTCCGTCGAACTTCTTACGGCGATCGTGCTTTGATGGGATGAATGCCTGATGGGACTATCGGAACGAGCTGAATGGTAGGATGGATCGCAGCGTACCGCTAAACTCAGTAAGCGTTGTCGTGGCCATCCCTGATAGCGTGCTGTCTAACAAGCCTTCCGGATCGTGCGATCGCATCCGTATCGGTATTGGTGCAGCTGTCGGAATTGTTATGTCTCGCTCATCTACATAATGATTTGTGGGCATTCAATGTGTGTCACGCCTGCTAACCATGTCCACTTCCGCGCATACTCCGACCCGCGAAGGCGAACTGGACTCCTTCGCTCCGGGAGTCAACATGCAAAGCCCCGATTGTGAACTCGAATCAGTTCCTTTGGAATCACTCTAGTATTCCTCTCCGGGGTCTCTGAGGCGCCAGGGCGAAGTCCCTCTGTCCAGGGTATGTATGTGTGTACGTAAATATTCCTGTCTTCTCCGCTCTGACGAGGCCAAGAAAAGGGTATCCCGGTCGCTCAGAAGACGCCACCAAGGAGGGATGCTCAAACGGAGCACGCCGAAATAAAACCCATTTAAGGAAGGGCAAGGAAGAATTTGACGCGAAGCAAAACTGCAGTCGGAGCAGAAGACTGACCTCGGCCGCCCAATGTCGTCGTTGATAACTAGAAGCGGAAACGGAAACTCGCAAAAACGGAACAGCGCATCTGCTGCTTTGCACTTCCGCTGGCCGTCGCGACCGACTCGACGGTTCCTACACTTCTCAATCCTCACTATACAACCGCAGCCCGTTCGTTCAGCCCGCGTATCATCGTTCCTTCACGGATAATTTCGTTAGTCGCTGTCGGCAGAGCTCTGCCGGAGAGCGGGCAGGCAAATGTCGAGATTCAAAGCAAAAGCCGGAGGAATCCCCGAAAAATATTATGCGCAGGCAGTTTATTCGTGAGCCTTCTCTGAGCAAGTCCGCTGGACCCGGACCGTTCCGAAGCGACTTACCCCCAGAACGGAGGCTGGATTCGAGAGTTTCTATCTGAAATTCATGAGGTCAGCGTCTAGACTTCAGAGCACGATTCATTTCAATCGATTTCCGTTCCTGATCAGCGGAGATCGCCTTTCCTGGAGGAAGATCATGTCGAGCTGGGAATCGCGCTCGAGGCCTGGGCCCGAAGTGAACACCTTCGACTAGCTGCCGTTTTCGCGGTATTCGGGTGGTCGCACGTATTCCACGTCGGATGGGCATCTAGCCTGCCGCATGAGGAACAGCTGAGAAGTTTGCGTCTGGTCCCGACGTTGAACACCTCTCGCGGACATCGCAGAAGATCGGGTCTGGACCGAGGGCGTGACGGCAGCGTGGACGTCACGCGGAATCCCTTGCATATTGAATGCGAGGGAGATCCACTTTTCTTGCTGCCGAGCTCCGCATCCTCGATCTCGCCAAGGAGCGCCTCGATCTGGCCTGCTCCCTCGACGAGCAAGTGTCCTGATTCAGATCCGACAGAGTCGCTGCGGAGAATACCCGTCAGAACTGTCGTCGTTGTTCCATGTATGGGTGGATTGATGAATGACACGAAATTGTTCAAATCCATGTCGAGTATCTGAACTCATTTCAATCTGTCCGGTTCCCCTCATCACCGTCATCGGAGGGATAATGTGCATGTCATGCGAGTTTCCCCTCCACCGCGTCAGGTTCCAGAATCGGATTCAAAGGCTCGCAGAGAGATGAATAGTGAAAAATAATTCTTGTTGGCACGATACGCTCCACGGCGGGAGAGCAGAATGGTCCGTAGCGTGGATCGATGCGATGAAATCCCGACTCGCTCAAGTATCGCTCCGGCAAAAAACCTGATGAGTACCGGCCACCACCAATCGATACAAATCGCTTTTCCCATAGAACTACCACATATTCATCGTATCTTCCCGAGTCCTTTCTGGAACGGAACTGCCTCGTTGAGGTGGTGAGCTTCTGGAAAAAATAAATTCGGCTTTCGCCCTTCCGTGACGCTCTATCCAAACGATGAGAGAAAGGCCCAGCATCGGTTCGATCGGCCTGTGGCAACCACGACAACCTACAACACGAACTGAGTCCCTTACGAGTGGGTAACGCGTCATGAGCGAAGACCAACTTTCCGAATGACATATTCTATGTGAAGCGTCGACCGCAGGGAAACGGTAAACGCTTCAGGAATTCCGTGCGGCGGAAGCCGTGCTCCGGGCTCTAATGACTTGCAGTTTCGCGAGGACCAGGCGGCTCACAGTCAGCATCGGCAGCTAGTTGTGGGAACGCTTCTGAGTGCTTCGGACGGCAGGACGGCTCTCGTGAATTATTCCCGTTTTTGGAATTGCCCGCTGGACTTGTTGTGGTTCTCTCAAATCCGCTTACGGCGAGCTGGTGTTGTCAGCAATGCTCATCAAATCGACGCTGCTTCTCACTTTGTGGGTTTGCTTCTCGTCTCAATTGAGTTTAGTTAGGGATCCCACGTCAAACAGCTGGGGTGAGACTGTCAACGATCCGGAGAGATCGTCATTCGCCACAAGTGAGTTGACATTGGGGGGGGATTGATTCCCGCGAGGTTTCCGACGGAATCCTTCAAGTTACATATCATGAGAGAGCGCATTCGCCAGCCGCATGCCCAGCAGAATGTCCCGAGAAGGCAAATATGGAGTTTTTTCTGGATTATTCAGGTCCTCCTCGTCCCGTGGTCCGGGAGCGGTATTGCTTTCCCAAGGGTTGGCCTGGTGGTGTTTATGATTGGCGAGCCGGTTATAGGTGAGTTCGATGTACCCAGACGCCCCTGTCCGATCCGCTGCGCATGAAGTTCGGCGGATGGAATCGAATGAGAAAATCCGACGTCCCTTCGCAGGTGCTTGGTCGTCGAATGCCAGCCGCTGAACTATGTTTGCCCCAACGAAGACACGTTCACGTTCCACCGCAAATGCATGGCCTGCAACTTCATGAAGGATCTGGATAAGGCTCTTTATGTGACCCCGAATTACGATTACGATACGAACGAGTACAGAATCCCATGAGAAGGACGTCATCTTTCGGTCGACTGCAGGAGCCGGGGGGATCACAAAACCACGCGGAGTTTCCTCCGGAGACCCATCCACTCGCTGATACTATCCAAATATATTTATGGAAGAACAAATAAATTCATGCCAGAACTCCACTTATTTCATTTCTAAGGTGACGCGGATGAGGACGATACTTCGCCGAGAATAAATTCATCCTTCCTATGCCGGGATCATGACGTTCGCCCAACTCTGTGTCCGACAGAATGATTGGGTATTACAGAGCATTCGTCGGTTCTCACGGCGATTGACACGTTCCCGTCGGGAGCGCCGTTACGCATTTGAGACCCATGGAATGAGGGGCTCCGTCGGCTCGACGCGGCTGAATGAACTGGGTGGCGTATATTAAATGACGCCCGATTATGAAACGGCGAACGAGCCCCGGAAGTGACCTAGATATAATTTTTTCCTCCGAGCACACGATTCCGAGTCCACAGAAAATCGATCGTAACTCAAGACAACTACACCGCTCGTGAATTTGTAGAGCACGCTAGCTCGATGGAGCTCTGATATAGTCGTCTCTGAAACATCACGTAGGGTACAAGTTTGTCGAAAAAAAATCGATGGAGCCGCAACGGTATTACCGGGGCAGGCTTATCACTTCGATCGGGTAAGACAACAGGGCACATTCCTCGTTGTGTGAGCCTTCGAGTGCGTGGGGAGGGTCACGGCTGAACAAGAGGAGAAAAAAACCTGTCCTCGGTGGCGTTGATGGTACGGCCACGTTATCTACCCGATGCTCGGTCAGACGGTTTGCGAACAGAGCTGCTCCCTCTAATTAGGAAGAGGACATAGATCAATAGCCGTTTGGAGTCTCTGCCGCCGCCGCTTTGGAACCCAACGCACTCGGTAGTGGTTTATTAACTTGGTTTTCTCGTTGTATTTTCCCGTCGTGTGCCCTGTTGTCGAAGTTCACGAAAATGAAAGTGTGGCTTGCTTGGATACTGCAGCTGACTGTTATCTCTCAACCGACACTATCTCAATGGGATCTCTTACCGAGCGCAAATAAGGAGCCAGCCCGCGGAACTTTTGTGATAGCCACGGGGAAGATGAACATCACTGTCAATCGGAGTCCGTCGGAGGAGAGACGGGTGAGATCCACGCTTCGAGTGACGACAGCCCCCTGTCCCTTGTTCCCCTCGCGAAACGTTGCTTTGGAACTCTTATTTACACTTTGCGCAGAGAAAAGCAACGCAACCCTTGCCCTGTCGTCTCGTTTCTCTCAAGCTTTTCGGAATACCGAGGAGGGCACCGTTTTGTGAACTCCCGAAGCTGATGCGCGATATTCCCCCCTTTAGGTAATTTCGATTCATTCGATCGAGTAGTCGGCTTCCAGGGTGAACGCGGAGGGGGGGGGGAGGACTAAATCAGATCGATGAACCGGTCAGTCTCTGGAGGATGTTGGAAAGATTGAAAATAGTTTTTCGTAGTCAAGAATTTATTTTCACAATCGAATTGTTTCCGGAGAAAAATTCCTACTCTGAACTCATCATTGAATCGGTCGAGTCGCGGACTTTACGCCGCACCTAACGCGAGCTCGCGTGAATTATCCATAGGGGGGGGGGGCGCTTTCCGCTTGCCTGCTTCCCTGAGCTAAGAGAATTTCGTCGTAGAGCAGTCGGAATAGTCCCGACGTCTTCGTCCCGGCGGCGGCTCGCGGGATGAGTTCGAATGATTCCCAAATATGCAGCGCGTGAAATGAAGACCCGATCTCCTCGCACGACATGCAGGGGATGATTTCCGATGTCTGGAATTCTCTCCGTGCCCCGGGAATGGAGGAATGAATTCTCCCCCAACAACTGTCACGTGCTTAAATATTTCCCAAATATAGAAATGCTTCTCTGTGGTTGCGACGGTGCTAATCTCTAATTCCCGTCGGTTTGATACCGTGGAGGACGTGGGGTATTAGTTCCGCATGCAAAAATCCTCTCATGCTGCATGCTCCAGTATTTCGCTTGCGACCAGCGCTGCCGCACCATGCAGGCGGGTGTATTAACTCGCTATGAATAAGAGAGCGAGACGCGCGTGCCCGTTGTTGATGTCATCCATATTCAAACGAATCGGGAATGCTCGCGCTCGGCATGGCTTTCTTCCCTCAGTCAGTCGTGCTCGGTTTGTGTCAGACTGAGTTTTTTGTTGCTCGACAGCGAGCAGTTTTTGTTGCATAAATAACGAATTCACGCGAAACAATTTTCATGCTCTGAAACAGCGGCCGGACGGCTGCCGTTACCCCTGCAATTGTCCAGAGAAGGAAGTGTCCTGCCAAGACGGGGTCACCAAAACTAAGGACGGATGCCAATGCTGCGAGATGTGTGCGCGACAGCACGGAGAACAATGCGATGGCATCAACGTCTGCGACCATCGGAGAAAGCTCATTTGTTCGAGCGGAATTTGTCGAGGTGATTACGGCAATGAATTGGAAATTGGAACGTTACAGAGTCTCGCTCCTTCTCGTTATTTCTCGTTGAGCGGATTTCGTTCGGGATCAAAATTGAGAAAACGACGGATGTCGATGCTGTGACGGATCGACCTCGAATAAGTGCGTCTCTCGAATCTCGGATTTTAATGGTAGAACTCGATTTCACCAAGGGTAGCCGCTGCTCATCGTCTCGGATGTATCGTCAGAGGAGTGACGTACGAAGACAACGCGGTATTCGCCACAGACTGCCGACATCATTGCTCGTGTCAGAACGGTACGGTTGCGTGCGCAAATCTCTGCACGAGAGAGCTGACGAAGCCCTCAGGTCAATGTGTGAACGCCAGACTCGTCTTCCTCAATCCCGGTGAGTTGTTCCCTCATTTGCTCGTTTCCCACCGCCTTCCCCGTATAATATATGTATAACTCCTGACGAAATGTTCGTGCCTAATTTCGAGTTTTCTTATCGGTGTCGCTCCCGTTCAGGTTTTTCCTTGTTTCGAAGGTGATTGCTGTCGAGAATGGATCTGCGATAATCCTAATCCGAAGCTTATCGGAGTACCTGGCTGCGTTCGCCAAGCGACCGAATGGAGCGAATGCTCAGCCACATGCGGTCAAGGCGTTTCGTGGAGACTCTCCAATCACAATGCCCAATGCCTAACGCGGAACGAGACCCGGCTGTGCATCGTAAAAACTTGCAAAGGCTTCCTCGATAGCTTCGATTCGGAACCCGACTCCGTCGATTGATGATCGGAAGCAGAAACGCCGTTTTCTATCGGTTGCCGATGACTCCCAATAGATAAGCGAGGATCACATTTGTCATCTCTCTCCCTGATGCAGGGCAGCTTCTGTGCTCTCAAACGTCCTCTATCGTCCGATGTAATCCAAGGGATGCTGTTTCAGTTTCCTGAATCATTTCTCTTCTCCATGGAGTTGTAACTTGGAACCTCTTTGCTGTTCGGAGGAAAAAAGAGGGTGAGCTCGCGAACAGAATAAGGGGAGCCCCGAGGAGGAAAAGCAAACTAAACACCCTAGATAGGACTAGATCAGCTCCATCAATGAGGTCCGGATCGTCTATTCATTTTCTTAGAAGAGGAATCCAAGCCGAGCGTTTACGAGAACCCGGGTAGTATCTTCTAGCGAATTCAGAAAGTGAAGAGGATAATATTCGCTGACTAACGGAACAGGATGCCCGACCATGTATCCTGTTAGAGTTCGCTGAGAATCGGGATCGCTCCGTTTCGTAGAAGACCCCAGAAGTTCTAATATTTGAAAAATAAAGCCTCCATAGGACTGATTATCCGCTGCTCACTATCTCAGTCAGTCGAGCCGCCGCAGCTCCGGCGCTATTCCTTCGCGGATGACCCCGGGAACGAAGCCAGTCAATTCGATGACCTCTTTCGAAGCGAACCAGAGTTCGGCCCGGAGCGATATCCGATTGACTAGAAAGTGACCGTAGGGCACCTCTACCTTGACGCCATCTCCCAGTACGATCTCGAACGAATTTTGAGCGGGGATATCACTCGGAGTAGGCTTCGTTGCCTCTACGCCCAGACTTCCTTCTTCTTCTAGAAGACGTTCTCCTCCGGATAAAATTCGGGGACGAACGGCTGCTCTCCCTTGGACGGAGCTCGGAATCGACATCGACTGCCGCGAGCCTGGCCCGTAGAGCTGAAGCGATCATCAGGAAGTCTCTCCCCATGTCGTATATCTACTTTGCATATAGATCGATGGACCGAGTGGTACGGATGACCTCTGACGACTTTCTTATTATTAATTTTGCATATTCTTTCATTTTCGCCTTTATCCTCACCGAGCCTGCTCGTGAGCCCGAACATCGGCGGAGATCGACCGTCAAGTTTGGATAGTATCGCTTTAGCTCGGACAAATGATACATAATCAGATCCGGGACCCGTGCGAATTCCAGCAGCCCATCATCGACGTGGACCCAAATAGGCGGAATCTCGCAGCGATAATACGGCGACATCGCATCGAGCGGCCTCGGGACGATAAGCGCGTAGGCTTCGGACTTCATCGTATCTGGATCCAGGATCCGGTTTTTTGGTCCACGGGAGCTATAAATGATGTGTACCTATCGGAGCTCGCGACCAGCTGTGAATAACTGCTCCCCCAGATTACCGCCGGGACGAGTGAAGTCTCCTAGAAGTGAGCACGAGCCTGCTGACTCATCGAAGGTACTCCGGGACACTGTCTTAAGAAGCAGTCGGCTTCCTTGTCTCGTCGGGTCACCATAGGGAGAGAAGTATATTTGCGCATCTCGCGAAACATCTCTCTTGCCGAGAACGGACTTCCGAGCCGCGGATCATTCAAGGCATCCGCTACATTGAAGAAATGAACCTTCCACGCAGTAGCGTGCTCCGGGGGGGCGGTCCGCCCCGGGCGGCACTTTCGGGGGGCGGCATTTTCGAGATCGTTATTCAAAAAAACGGGTATTTTTGTGAAAATTTCCGAAGTTTCTCGCGAAAAATATTCGGACAGGGGGCGGCATTTTGGTTGATCGCGTCCGAAAAATGAAAATATTCGTTGACCGCCCCGGGCGGTACCATGGGGAAGTACGCCATTGCCTCCACGCTCGCTTTAGGGAAAAGGGCTCCCCTCCAAATTCTCGAATCTTTCTGGATCGATGGGAGCTGGATCGCCACACAAAACAGTTTTGCGCGAAATGCTTACCCATTGATTGAATATTGATCTCTTGCAGCAGTGAATACATTTCTCCCCAGCTAGTTTCTCCCAGAAACAACGATTCGCTCCAAGACTGACTGAATAAGGGCATACTGGAATCTTCCCCCTCTCTCAGGGATCAGTAGACTTCTTCCGACGGATACGTCTCTAGATACGGGGAGCACTGCGGTAGCTTCGACTTCTGTGGGCGAGACCCGTCGCACTCAAAGACGCACGCGAAGAGGGCTCTAAGGCCAGAGCTTTGAGACGTTCTGGAGGGCCCTATTCGCGAGCTAATGAAAGCTCTCTCGAGCGTAGATTTTGGAAGAAAGCACCCCTCGCGCCACGCTCGATCCGACGCCAAGTACCTCTCGGGACGGAGAACAGATTTTCTGCGAATTAGCAACCTTAAATCCGATTAGTCCCTTCAAGAGAGAGGGGAGAAGTTGTCCCTGTTCGAAAATTCCTACTCTCGCTATTCCTTGCCGAGACTTTCAAAGAACATGAGACGATGCCTCATCTTTCAAGTCGACGATCCGTCATTCGCTCTTTGCGCACACCGATGCATTTTCCTCCCTTAGTTAGGCTGCAGCCGGCGATGGCTTCAAAATGTCATCTGAGAGCAGCTGTTCCAGAAGGGAGTGGATTCTCCATTGTATGCCCTATCGAGCTCAAGGTTGCGCTCCCTCCGAGAGCAAATCCTCATGTTTCACAACAGTAGACTAATGCAACGACATTGCAAATTCCCGAGACGTAACTCAAAGAAGCTCTTCGGAATCCCGAATCGACGCCGTCGTCTTTGAACACAAACCCTTCACCGGATCATCTAGACGTGATTATTCGTCAGAAACTGTTGGACACACTAACAAGCGAGTCGAGACACACCGACTCTGGCTTGAGTGGTCCTATCTTCAGAATTGGAACGACTCTGTAGACTTCGGATGTTTGCAGAAAAAATTCTGCGAGGCTCATCCTAAACTTAACGTCTGATCCCTGGAGAAGAGGGTTGGCTCTGTTTTTTCCGCTTCGCAGCAGGCCTCTGGGCTTCGACAGCATTTCCACTGGAGGAATAATCTAAGGGAGAATTCTTTAACCCGAGGCGGTTTTGGCTCAGCAAGGCTCCAGCTTAGAATTAGTAAGCAACAAGAGAGTCCGGTAACTGAATTGATCGCTGTGTCGTCGTCGGTGCTTTTGTGCTCTTAATGAGGGACAGGCACGGGAGACGCCACACAGGACATCCATACGAATTCATGGATTCTCCATATGGATACCCACACAAACTCTGGAATCGAGAGATTTCCCAGCGGGGGGACTTCCTCGTGTGGTTTCGGAAACTGGGATGGGACGCTGAAAATAGAAAGGAGGAGGAATGGACGTCTTCTCACCCGAATCGCGCCCTCTCGGTACTTCTCGGGAGTGCAGATGAATTCCGGGTCGGGATTCATGGCAGCTCGAGATTCGAAGCGTTCACCGAAATGATCAACGATGCGGCTCCCGCGAGGAGTTTCTCTCTCACAAAAAAATGTCTGAATGCCATCCATTGGGACTTGGGACCCGAAAAAAAACACTCGATGATCTTTCCAGGAGAGAATTGTTTATTTCAATGAAGTCAGCAAAGTAAGGCAATGAGTCCCTGGAGAGTAATTCATGCATAATCATCGATCCTGGCGTATAAATGGATAGACCGCCGAGGAGCCTCCACCGACAAAATGAATAGAGCAGGAAATAGGCGGCAACTTTACCTTCGTAAATCGTGTTGCTTTGTGCCATGCTGAGAAATCTTTCGCATCGTTGTGACGGAGCAGAGAAAACTATCGGGGATCCGTGGCATTGATTGCCGCAACTGACCCGATACCGAATCCGGACGTGACTGATTTCTGATCTATGTAGAAGAGAGCAAACGGAGGATATATCTCCTCGCCGCATCGCAACATTGTCACTGGTCTCTTCTTGGACGCAATGTATTCGGTTGTAGGCGTTGGGAGTCAGGTATTGTGAGCAGCAGAATTCCTCGAGGAGTCCAGCGACACCGCGTCTCAAGAAATTACGGTAGCGCCCTCCTGTTCCGCGGAGGAACTCGGATTCTTCCGCGAATATCGGTCTCTTGCCATGGATTTCAACAACGCTCCCTCCCGGGACTGTTATTGTTCCCAGAATGCTGGTTGTTCGTGATCGGCCCCAATTTACTTCTGGATATATCCGTGAGCTAGGTAATCTAGAACTTCAATAGGAAATCTGCTCGAATTCTCGGAATGCGGTTCGCAGAACAATGGCAGAAAACTGTGCCGACTCTCCCGATCCTTTGTTTACTCGACTTCCCAATTGGAATTCCCCTGCTTACGCGGACGGACTCCGCCCGGGACACACACCGCCCGTAATACCGTCGGTCCACAGCACCGCTCTTCGAATGTAAGTTTACACGATTCCGATGAGTTCCACGCGCCCACCAGCCTCCATTAGGGAATTTGACGATCATCGACCACAATGACAGGGGGCTAATTATCCCTATTCAGTGTACAAAACTTTCGCGAATTCGGCTGGCCGGATTTGCCGAGGACACGCCGACCTCTCCACAAAAATTGTGAAAGGCAGATATCTATAGGAATGGTGTCGCAGACGCATCCCGTGGATGCCTATCGACAACTTCTGTCTTCTGGATTTTCGAACCTCCCCCCTATCTCCGACAGATTCCCTCGTCAGGTTAGGGCCGAAGGCCAAAGCTACGCAGCTCGGAGTGCGGGACCACATCATCTCGTCTTCCAGGTACATGCGCCTCGACGAGCAGGAGATTTTCGGCCTCATACGCCCACCGCATGCTATTCCTGACAATGCGATGAATGATAGAATCGCAACTGGTCAGCCAGACGAGGCGATATTTTCCGTAGAACTGTGAAGCGTCTCAGGGATAGGAGGACTAAGTCTCCCGAACTATGAGATTGCCTACCAATTCGGATTCGAGGGCTATTACCGACCTTATCGAAATGAAGTTCGTAATGTGGGTTCTTTGATTCCGATATTATGATAGTCATGACTTGTCCACCTACACGCTTCGTGGTAGGAACCTG